AAACTTTGTGAAGTTATTTCTTATTATGTAAATACTTTACCCCGGGATTTTATTTGATTTCAACCTTAATTTTATACGATATTTTTCTCAGTCGTTCAATCTTGCAACACTAGTAAATTAAGACAAGGAATATAAGACCTATGTAGTTCCGACGCATACATGTTAAAAAACATGTCCAAATCTTTACCTTTGATAACAGTTTCTGTGAAAACCAGGCATTTTTTAATGCGTAAATAAAATATATCTCTCTTCTATTACTTTTAATTTTATAATACACACAACTTATTTAATATATTTATTTATACATACTGTTCCACTAATTTAACAAAATTCCATGTTCAATTCATTATATAACAATACCGATATTAAATTAGCCCATTTGTATAATTCATAAAGGACAACTAACTGTTCTGTACAAATTTACTAAGCTTAATAACAGTTAAAACCATTCAAATTAGTGAGGACGTCCGATGTCTATGAATAATGAGCCGAATCAAGTGGACCGCTCGTCAAAATATAGCTGGGTTTTGAGTTTTATTAATGAAACATTATATCAAATTTAGATGTAATTACTATTGGTATTATGATAAATTGCTACAGTACGTACAACCCTCCACTTAAATCACATTAATTTTCTTATATAGCTTTCATTTTAAATTGTATTTTATATATTATAAGTGACTCTCTCTATTCATCAAGTATGATGTTATTATATAAAACTGGTATTTATCTGAAAGCTATTACAGAAGTAGTTACATAAATTTATATTAAGAGACATTATTTTTTTGTTTTTGGACTAGGAAATATCCAGGTGAAAACTACACACTTTTATTTTCGTATTAATCATATTAATAATAGTATAACTTCTTCTACCAGGCAATTTCCCAGCTATAGCCAGGGTCTGCCTTACACATTGTGAATCGTTTTGGCTAACTGTTTTTACGACCGGCCGCCTGCCTGACATCAACCCTCTTTGGGAATCAACATTAATCAGTGATATCGAAATACTCTTAGAAAGTATATATGACTCGGAAAAATCACATTGGTACTTGTCCGGGCCAGAATCGCACCCGTGCCCTCGTGCATGAGAGGCGGGCCTTTTAAACACTAGGCCACCACTGACTTGATATGTACCACGCATTATGATATTCAATGATACAACATAGGTAGTTTTTGGTTATTAAAAAGCCATAGAAAAAATCTATCAAGCGATAACAGTTTAATGCCTCAAAAAGTGAAAATCATATAAAATAAACTAACTGACTGTATTATTTCATCTATCAATAACTCGTTATTATAATCAATAAGTTTTGTTTGCGACCTCTGGCTAGAACGAGTATGGTTCAAGTATATACTTGACACACATAACACTATACACACATTACTTGACGTATCAATGATAAAAGTATTGTAAACAAACGCTTTCACAATAATAATAAAAACAGAAAAATATATTTTAATCCAAAGTTACATTTAAATATTCAGATTATTTATAATATAAGACTTTATGTATGTTTGAGAAAAAATAACGAAAATAAATGATGTCGGATCAAAATAATTTAACATAGACACGTATTAGGTAATATTATAAACAGAATTTTAAATAGAATTATGATTCACATATAAAAATATAATAAGAAAGTCTATAGACTCAAACAGGCTCTAGACCGGCACAAGTCTAGAGTCTAGACTAATCAGACTTATAGATTATAAAGTATAAGTTTTACAGAAGTAAAATTATGAATTAATTTATAGAGTTATGAGCAGAGATCATAATTATAGTCAAATATTTGTATGGTTGGTCGAGATGTAAAATTTTATTTTATACTAAGTAGTGATAAAGAAAGAGTTCAAAGGAAAGGTCACCTTGGTTATGTCATGAATATTTTATTAAAATCCCTATAAATTTTCAAGAGAATTAGTTAATCCATTTTTCTGTCTGCATGTTAAGACGAAGACTCATTTCTGTATTGGTTTTTAATAAATTCGCATCTTTTTATTCAATACTCAATTAGGCATGTATTTCAATGGATTAAATTTTCCATTTGATACCATTTATTATTGGCATAAAAAGCTGGGAATAAATTATATATATGTATAAATATTACCTTTAATCGTTACTTTATCGCGAAACAGTTTGTATTGTGCAGTTGATTTACCTGAAATAAATTATAAAAACAATTAAAAATATTAATAACTATTACGTCAATCTATATAAAATCGAATCACATAATCTTTACTTGTGATTGCATTACGAAAATAATACTGGAGTACAATAAAATTTTATTTCATGGTCCTAAGACTAAAATTATTAGATCATTCTTTAATATGAAGTAATTTTTTATAAGTACTACAAACGGTTTTATTTTAAACAGCGCAGACAGAGTTGTATGTATCAGCTAGTATAAAAGAAATATGTCGATTTATAAAATATTAAAACTTAAATCGCACCATATATTTCTCTATTCGTGGATATATTTATTTAGTTACAAAAGAAATATCCAAGTTCTATAAGACGTCATCAACAATCGCTAATTTCACTGAACACAACTCAGTACACTCATACTATTACGTCAATGGCCGGCCTGGATTATGTAAGAAAACAATATCGATAAATCCTTATCATGTGAAACAAAATATTATTCAATATATACATAATAATGATAATAACTAAAATATTTAAAACAAAACCCATATTCAGGCAAGGCGGAGTCGAATGAGTGATGTTACATATATGTCATATATTTTGTTTGTCAATGTAAATTTTATTTCATAACTAGTACACATTAAAGCTTAGTGTTGCACAAAAAATGTAATATTTGCTCTACTTCGATAGATTCTAGATCACGATGACGTAAATACATACATTATACAAAACTTTTATCTTCCAGATGGTATTTATTTAATATTAATTAAGTTGAGATTATTACGTCAAACTATATATATTTATATTGTTACCATTTGTTAATACAAAAATTGTGTGATATAATTAAACTACGGTCTTAAATAATATTATGAGTTTATTTCGTTTTGTTACTCTTTTTCGAGGAAGGCTATAGGTTATGTAGCATCACGCGAAATAGAGCATCGATAGAAAAATGTTCCAATAAAAAAAATCCTTTTGGAAGTTTTCATAGCAGTAACCATGATTACAGCTGAAACCGCGGGCAAAGCTTAGTATACAGTACATTCCTCGTAACAGGTAGTAGGTAAGTAAACCGATGGTGACGTTAAACATCTCTAAAAAGACGCAACAAAAAACTGTTGTCGCTAACATTTTTTAACATCAACCATATTTTATATTATATAATATTAGTTATTACTGAACTTTACGACACTTGATAGTATCTTTATATAAATATTAAGTATGAATATATGTTGGTTTATATGAAAGACTTTCAAGAATTTCAACTAACATTGAGTTATTGGTTAGTTTAAGAAATAAACTCATAGAAGTCATAGATGATTGTAGTACTAATTGAACAGGCCAAAAAACAGTCTTTGTAGTTACTATATATGGAAAATAATTGATGATATTATTTTAACAAACTCATTTTTTAATATCTGGCTAATTATATATTATATACCACATTAAAATAAAAAAACACACCATATGTTTTAATTTACCCACACTCTACTTATCACATACATTTTTCTAAGTAACATTATTACTTTGTAACAATTCCTTATGTAACAAACCGAGAAGCAATAAAAATCGAAACCGTTCAATGTTCACTAACTTAATTGTTATTTGACCTCAATCCACAGTATTACTACATATATATACATATACATATATATACTATATAAACCTTGAACCCATAACAATCGTTCGACAAGGCCTTACGGCCATCGATCTGCTTCGTCATCCTGCAAGCGTTATCACAACTAATATATGAATTATTCATATAATATAAATACTATAAGGCATAGGACACACAATTCTCCGAGGGAATAAGTCCGTTCTTTGCCAGGACCGGCCAGTCGCTAGTGTGCCCTATCGCTGACAGATCCGGGGTACACCGACATAGCGTTCGATGGCTTTCGCAGTGGTTTTAGTGAGTAGGGACCTGCCCAGGTCGAGGCTCACACATCCCTTCCGGCCCCACTAAGGCCGGTTGGACGGCTCGTAAAAAGAGTTTCCCTGTTTTATCAAAAAAAAATTAGGACACATAATGAAACCATGTAAAGCCGTTCATTCTTTTAAAACCGTTGCCGCGACCCACTTCAACAACACATATAACACCAACACCGGCTTTCAACATGCGGCTTATCTATAAATAGGTGTTTTAACATTTTTTCATAACAAAAATATAATATATTGTATGTCCTAATAAAATTTCTGACCGCAGCAATACATTAAAACACTCGCGTCATTCGTGGGACGGCAATTTAATCTAATTAATTAAAAGCATGATTACTCTGTTACTTTTATTACGTAGTGCAAAATGTATAAGAGAATTTAAAAAAATAACATCGCAACAATATGTATGTAAGTTATGTAAAGGTGAATAAAAAGAACACCATTGTAATCTTAAAGTGTTAAATGATTCGATCATACTTGAAAAATAGTTATATTGTAATATTACACAGAATAAAACCAGTCAGAAATCATGTAGAGGTCTTGTTTGCTATTTAAATACCCACTATAATGAGACACATATACAATAGAATTTCTACATGTTCTAATCATCACAACGGTTTCAAGATACTGCCTTCTTTTGTTTCCATATAAGTTTTACAGTAAACGGTATTATCGACCAAAGTTTGCTGAACAAGCGGGTCAAGGCGTCCACCTCCTACGCCCTCCGAGTGAAATTTAACTATCTTAGAAACTTGCCCACGCGAATAACCACATAATATACAACTCAGTGCTATTCGTTATAATAAGGCATGTTTTAAATGAATTAATTATAATCTGAGACTCAATAAAAGAAAATTAAAAACTATATAGCTTGCAACTGAAAGGTCGTTCGTTGTACAAGTCGATGTTTTTGTATTTAATCACAAGGTCTGTCAGCGTGGTTGGCAGGTCGCCGGGACACGTCAATACAATCACCAGGTATCAATGACAGAACACTTCGACTATAGAACAACGAGCGATAAACTTTATAAGGCCGCGATGTAAATCGATATTTCACTTTACCGCTGTATCGATTACCTTTACATCAGTGTATACGTAAAATTACTTAGTATGGACATTTTATATTCACTATATAATATTATAAAAGTCAAGGATGTTCGTTCGTTTCAAAAAAACGTCCACCCACTCACATTTCGATACAACATTCGGTTGATATTTAAAATTCAACGCGTGATGCGCGGGCGCAGAGCCGCATGCGTTGTTGACCAGCCGACCTAACGTGACCAGAATGACGGAACCTCCCGTTATATAGAAAGCCGGTGCCCGCAGACCAGCTCGAGGGGTCATGCTGAGTCGGTTCCGATCAAAGTCACTACGACCGGTTCCCAGTCCGGCCGAGCGAGGCTGAGATAAAACATGATAATAGCATAACATTCGTGTAGAAGTTAGAGTTTAGACATACGGAATATAAATTTGATTGTTACAAATTAAGACACTATAAGGTACGTCTATGTGGGCGGTACTTGAAAACAATCATATATACGATGTTTAAAATTAATAAATTGGTAGCTTCCGTCTATATAAATTTTTGACTACTAACTACTTTCAATTGGAGAGATCGAGTTGCATGTGAGTGAATTAATTTTTCTATAATTCAAGCCATACGTTATATCGTTATGAGAAACAATCGAAATGATTGCTCAAAAGAACCAGTGAGTACAAACAAGTTGCGTAAAAGCAGTTTTTTTTGCGAGTTGCATTTATTTGCAGCAAAGAATCCGGGTCGGCTCGCGTTCCGAGAAAAAATATCCCGTTCACATTAATGAATTACGACATTTACATATAATAACAACATTATATATATAATGTGAGACTATATAATATACTTATACATTATATACAGACTCAGAGTACATAAGACAGTTATGAGTCGAAGTAAACTGCAGTTAACTAGGCACGCCGCCCATCTATTATTAACTTAAAATATTCCAAGCGGCCTCCAACAGACTTCGTCTATTTCAGTAACTAAAGTCGCTCGCAACGAACACGAATGTGAAAACAGTTTTGAATTTCACTTATTGCTTTGTTTACAACCTCGTTGAAGACTTCACGTTGGTTATTTGTTTGTGAAATAATTACGTACATAAATTACAGACATGGGACGAAATTGTTCTGTTAAATAATACGAAATTTAATCATTCACAGTTTAAGTAGACAATCATAGCCGAAAATAATTTTATAATAGGTACAAGGCGAATAAATAAGTTATAAGTATTGTAATGTACGGACGGCCTTCGCTATTATGATATCGCAATATTACAATTTAGACCTCAAATTTCAATTATAGATGTGGGTCAAGAGTCTTGGTGTGTTATGATCGAATGTTTTTCATACATTTATATTTATTTATAATTTATTCTATTGAACGAGTACATTAAAAGTCTTCTTATATATTAATGTCGGCCTTTTAAATAACGGACTTTGAAATCAAATCTCTATTGAGAAGATTTTTTAATAATATACTTACTGAAAATTATCCGGCAACAATTTTGTTTTTTAATTGCAAAAACATATAAATGTTTTCTTACTCTTTTTATTAATACTTAAATATGTAGCATGTAACAAATAACTTCACTGGGATATTTTTAAATAGTATTTTAACTTTAATATAAAAAAAATATAGGTGCTTTTTCAATTATTGAATGTAGTGAAATCTTTCATTAGTCTAAATTCCCCTTAGTTTTATAACGAAAAAATGTTGCAGTAATAAACTATTTTGTATTTTTTTTTATGATAAACTCACACACAGCACTCAGACAAATACAACAATATATTCTATGAGAAGGAGAGGTATCAAAACTAAATATGCCACAATTAGTCATTAAACCTTCACGAATCTACATAATTTTTGTTAAGTATATGGGTATGTAGTTAATTATTTTTAATTTAATTCTTATACATGCATTCTCGATACCAATACTATAAAAGTACACCATAAACATTCATTCCAACCATATTCCCCATTTATGCTTTCTTTAGAATATAACTGAGATTTTAGTTAGACCTTCACCCGACAGAGGAGTTTATTAATGAACGCCATATCCCGTCTATCCTGTTGAGAAATAATCACTAAGATCTATACTATTACTTCCACTGCACGGAGAAGTAATTAATTAGACGCAATATTACGTTTACCGTACGGAGAAAGATTGAATTGGACATATTATTACGTTCACCGTACGGAAAAAGATTGAATTGAAGGAATTATTACGTTCACCGTACGGAGAATGATTGAATTGTACACATTATTCTGTCCACTGTACGGAGAAAGATTTAAATAGACGCATTATTAAGACCAATGCAAAATATTCATGTAATCGTCACTCTCAATTTGCGTTTCCTTTATTACTTATAGCTCCTTTTTAATTTAAATACAGCATTATGTAATAGAGACTTGATATATGAGTATTCGTATAAATAGATTAACAAATACAGAACCGTGACGTGTGCGATCTCAAAAGCTTTGATAAAAAATATTATTTATATACGAATTTCAATATGAATTGTGAAGGAGCGATGCGCAAAAATATTTTTAGTACGCACAAGGTGGTAGGAGGGAAAATCAATCGAGTCTGTGCGTGGGGCTGACGGCTGGGTGAGGAGGGGGAGGGAGGAAAGAGGAGGGAGCAGGGAGGGGATAGAGTCACGGCCAAGGTCGGTCATACCTCCCTCTGGAACACCCTCCGCTACGTCAATATCAGCCGGCTAATAGGGCTAGCACTTATCGTAACTATAATACTATACACATTACAAAATATGCCAAAGAAGTAGACAGAAATATACATAAATAAACTTAAATATATTTTTATTAAATATGATCATATAAAAATTAAGGGAATTCCTTAAATGTATATGTATTTAAAATGCAATTATGGATACAATTCATTCTATAACATAATGAGAATCTTTAAAACTGCGTTTATAAATTCAAAAACGTAATACAATTCAAACGACGTGATTGCGTCACGGTAACCCTAGGGCCAACTCATTCAAAGTTTACTCACACAGGCTGAGACAACCAATGGGATGGCTGCTAACAAAAACAACCTTAATACATTGTTATAACGCTCAGATTGCTCTGTGAGGTCGGAGATGCAATTGAGTATTGAAACCGAGTACAAGAGTGACCCCTGCGGTACAAGAGACAAAACGGTCAAAGCCAATTGATCGCGCGGAGTGCGCATCCACATACTAAAATATATCAAGTGTTAGGTCAAAGCATACATATACATATAGTATGAGATTACACAATACTTTCAACATATTTAATTTGAGATTAGTTTTATTTTAGATCATGTTGAAGGTTATTCCAATGTCGAACATACTCTCTACGCCTTTGATGTTGGTAATATATTAAATTTCGAGTCTAGACCTTTTCTAAATTGAATCAAATGTTCCGAATAGATAATAAGAACAGACCTTATGAATACAGACAGAATAACTCATGTATATATAAAGTTTAAATTACGTAAATAATTACAACGAAATCTTTTTATACATTGCGATTTGGTGATAATATTACTAGCAAAAATTTAAATCCTGATACAGTCGCAAGACAAGAACTATCGTCTGTTTATATGTGATAACGTTATCACTAGTTATAGCTATTGCGCATCGAACTGATAAGATATGCGGTACAGGGCATAGGTTATTACAAGTTACTGTTCAGTGATATCATATTGCAATAGTTAGGAATATGACACTGTTATAAAGTAAAGATTTATAAACCTTTCGTAACATATATCTATTTGATTCAGTGTTAAAAATTCTATACTCAGCCAGAGCTAAGTTTGCGAGCAGCCTTATTTATCTAATAAACAAGCCATCATAAAGCTTGTAGTAAATCTTATGTGTAAGTACTATAATAACCTACAACGGACGGTCCCCTGTAAATAGATTAAACTATGCACACATATATGTTTATGTACATATACCTAATACATTATAAAGATACAGAAGATTTATCGTATAGATATTACGTTGATGTTTAACTTCAAAATCATTACGACTTTTTCATACGAAAAGCGACTATTGTATTTTACTTCATTTTATCGACAATTAAAGACATTACGGTTAATAAGTTTCGTAGGTGAATAAAATAAATGCTTTCATTTCTCACAGAATTTGAACCATTCAAAGATACTTCAATAAATTTAACATTAAGTAAAAAAAATCCTAAAATATTAAGAATTTTCAATTCGGGGAAAAGACGGCTCATCCGTAGTACTCATATAATAAATGAGAGTCACAATCCTCTCTATTAACTTTTCAATATTGAAGCGGTGAAATGAATTTAATGAAATTTTCATTTGGTTCTAGATAGAAACTCTGATAGTTTTATGACGTAATTATCTTCCCTCCAAGCGGACAGAGTTGAGGGAAGAGCTAGTAGTATATAAACAAACGTTAGCCACTATCTACTAAGTATATGAGAAGTACCAAGGTTTAATAAAATACAAAGACCCATACATTTTCTATCTATCAAAGTGATCTTAACCCGTATCTTCCCAAGTCCTCAAAACTCATCTGATTGAAGCGAAACTTTCAGAATCATTTGTTAGTAGCCTAATTATCGATAATATGCAACAAAAAAAAAAATTTCGATTTCCGGTATTTCAGTTACAGTACCGATCCAAAAATGGAACAGTAGGAGAATATGCCACTGTATTTTATTGTTGGTATTGTGTGCTTTTTAGGAAGATTGCTGTAAATAATGAAAGATATTTATGAATAATCTTATTTATTTTTAGTATATAATTTTAGTATTTTTAGTATTTTATATAACATTTAGTATAACATTTAGTATTACAATTTTATTTCGTATGAAACGCAGGAGAACACTTTTGGTGTAGGGCGACGTTGCATTTGCCACATTTCATTGTCGTGTTTTTATGACATAAACCACAACGGTTTTGTTTATCACTTTTGATAATATGGTGTGCCTTTCCATCTAACCTAATATCAACTGGAACTCGTTTTATGACTGCTAGAGATGATCTTGGAATAGGCTTCTTTACTGAAGAAGAATTTTCAGGAAAAGTCTGAAGATATGTTGTTACAACATGTCTTGTAAATGACAAATAGTCATGCTGATTGTTTTGTGAAGCTGGCGATAATTTATATAACTGAAAAGCATTATTCATACATACATTTATAGGAAACATAAGTAGCTGCCAGTACCACCTCTTCAGGCGTATAGAAATACGATAGCATCCCACATTTTGATCCAAACGGTCGACACCGCCCATATATTTGTTATAGTTGACGATGCAGCGAGGTTGGTCGACGTCTTTCTTCTGCTTGTCACAGTAACGTTTTACCTTAGCTAAAGGCTCCACACCACATTCGGTTGAGGCAACGGTAACAATATTGTTGTCATTGTAACGTACGAGGGTGATGTTCGTCAGAGTATCTGTACACTGGTCAAAAGACCCTCTGCTCATTTTCTTCATATCTTTCGCTTCTTTCAAGGGTGCCTTTTCTACCCTATTTGCCCTAACCGTTCCCGTCGCATCGGGTCCTAATGTTTTTATTTCATCCAACAAGGGTAAAGATGTAAAATAGTTGTCCATATAAAAGCTGTAAGTACCGGGCGGCAATTTGGATATGAGGTCTAAAACAACAGAAGCACCTACACCAAGTTCTGGGTGGGTATTTCCTGTGCTTGCCCCTTGATAAAGCTCTCCATATATCAAATATCCAAGACGAGTACATATAGACCAATTCTTATAACCGAACCGAATGGGTTTACCATGAATATGTTGCTTCGTCCCATGTTTCCCGAAATATGGAATCATGGATTCATCAATGCTTAGATTCCTGTCACCGGGATAATATTTTACCCATCTCTTATTGAGTAGATTCCAGAGAGGACGAACCTTCGCGAACTTGTCCTGTGGAGCTAAGTTATTATTATCGGCGACGTGAAAGAATCGTAATAGTTCTTCAAATCTGTTCCTAGGCATAGCAGCTGCCACACCTTGAAAATTACAATCAACACTTTGCTCCCAGTACATACGATATCTAGCAACACTGTTGTAACCAGACAGCAAGAGAATCCCTATAAATCGTTTTATTTCCTCAGTTGTAACTTTGAAATTGTGGTAACCTTTTTGAATAGCATTTTTTTCGGTTTCAGAGCGAATCAATTCAAAAACGTCTTCGTCAAAAAAAAGTTCAAAAAAGTGAACAGGAGTATCTAGGTGTTCTAAGAAATGTGGTGGCTCTGATGTTTTCTCTGTCTTCACTGGAATATCTACTTTCCTCCACTTTCGGGTAGCTGGACATTTTTTTTCTTTGCCGGTGGTTGTACTGATAAGTCGCCGTGTGTATTATTATCTATAGAAACTTCATTTGATACGCTTTCTATAATATCTAAATTAGACTGTGAAGATACAGTAGCCCTAAACTCAGCCTGTGCTAAGAGCTGCTGCCTGGACAGGTGATTTATGTTCGAAGACTCCTCATCTCCACTGTCTTCATCACTTTTGTCGTAATTATCTGGGGGTGTTATGTAAATATCTGCTGACAATACGTCATCGTTGTCTTCAAGATGCGATATTATGTCATTTACCGACAATCTAAAACAAAATAAACGCAAAATTCAAAAATAACAATTATGTCACTACATAAAATGTTCCATATCCATATTATCCTACTGATCCATTATTGGATCGGTACGTATAAAAGTAAAAAATAAATGTAAATAAGCTAAATGTGCATTTCACTGTCTTGCAATATGATAACTCAACTCCTAGCCGATATAAATACGATACAATAATTATAAATTATCTAAAAAAAAAACAAGAAATACTTACATTCGGCGATGAGACATTTTTTCACAATTTCCAAAAAATTCAGTGCGTAACAAAACACAAATTTCGCGGCCCACCGAGGATCTGACAAGTGAATATGGCGGCAAGAACTGTCAGTGCTGCCACCATAGACAAAAAAAATGGCTGCGTTCACGAAATTTTAGTAAAAAAAATATTAAACTAACCGATCCAATAATGGATCACTGGGATGATACGGGTTAACGTGATTTTTTCAAACACGAAATGTTAGGCAAGTCTGACGAGGCCGAATACTGATTTCAAGTTTCAACTCGACCTAAAACAGAATCTATTCAGAATTGATTCAATTCTTTCGGCGAAGTATACTTCGTTTTCAAATTCTGCAGCATCAAATACTATAATAGGAATATAAAGTCAGTGGTGGCCTAGTTGTTAAAAAGCCCGCCTCTAATGCATGAGGGAGCGGGTTCGATCCTGACAAGTACCAATGTGATTTTTTGGAGTCATATGTACTTTCTAAGAGTATTTAGACATCACTGATTAATGCATTCCCAGAAAAGTTGATTTCAGGCAGACGGCCGGTTGTAAAAACAATTAGCCAAAACTATTCACAACATATAAGGCAGACCCTGGCTAAAGCTGGGAAATTGCCAGGTAGAAGAAGAAGAAATATAACAGGAACAAAATATACCAACGTTTTGGTTATATATACAGGTATTTCCACAATGTTTGTACGTCTAAGTCCGTGTATGTTTGTATTGTACACCTTGAAGTCGCGTTTTACCTAAATATGTGACGTCAATTTGTCTGTTAGCTGTGTTCCCATAAGACTTCTCAACCGTCATACAATACACGTAACCCAAGAACGTATTGCATGGACAAACAAACGGATAACATCGTATCATAAAAAATAACTCTAGGAAAAAACCAAAATAATTGTACAGCATGTGAAAGAATACAGTAATTTCATTTAAGAACTACTTTTAATATGTTTATATGCGTAATAAAATAAAATATGTAAGACAAAAAATGTCAGAATATCAATGAAAATGAATTAAAAAAAATTATTGACGGAATGAAATATTAAAGAAGTGAATAGTCAATTAAAAATCATTATGAAACACAGTACGTTTACAGACGATTGAGCTCAAACCGGGAGTAAAGATAAAACATTAAATATATTGGAAACATTATTAAATTTTATATTAATATTGAAATGTGACTAAAACCATTCAGCTGATACAAATGATATTCTGAAACAATACGTACTTATGGTTTAATGAAATTTTAATTATAAGAGTGACCTATTAAGTAACACATGACATATTATAATATTGATTTTAATTTTAATATAAATATATAGAAAACATCTTCCAGCACCTTGGTTGACGGACCACATAAAATACCTTATAAAACAAAAGAATAAGGCCAAGTACAAATTTAAGTTAAATGACTCCGACTCTAACAGGGAGAAGTATATCAAAGCGCGAAATCGCTGCAATACATCTTGTAGAGATGCACAACGACGCCATATTTATCAATCTGTCGAAAACGGCGACACAGCTAAAACATGGAAATTTCTCGAATCACTTGGAGTTGGTAAATCTTCTCTTAATACTCCTGTTAATCTAGATATTGAACTTTTGAGTCAACACTTCTCATCTTCAAGCTTACTTAATAGTGGCGATAAAACAAACACATTAAATATTATTTCTACTTACCCAACTCCTGCCTTTCCTCCGTTTAGCTTCACGTCTTTTACTGAATGTGATGTTAAAAAGAACATTATGTCTATATCCTCGAATGCTGTTGGCACAGACTGTATTAGCCGTAATATGATCATTCCCATCCTTGACATTGTGATTCCCATTTTGACCCATATCTTAAATTTTTCCCTTACCTGCAGCAAGTTTCCTGATACATGGAAGGATGCGCAAATTATCCCCATCCCTAAAAAAGGTAATCCCTTAACAGCTTCTGATTACCGTCCCGTTTCAATTCTCCCTTTCCTATCCAAGGTCCTGGAAAAGCTCGTCTCACATCAACTAAATAGTTTCCTTAATGAGCATTCCCTTCTCAATCCTCTCCAATCAGGCTTCCGTGCAGGTCATAGTACGGCTACAGCTTTAGTTAAAGTCACAGACGACATTCGATTGGCCATGGATTCCAAACAACTCACAATCTTAGTGCTTCTTGATTTTAGTAACGCATTTAACTGCGTAGACCATGACATCTTGTTGAGTATGTTATGTTCTTTTAACATATCTCCATCCGTAAAAGACTGGCTTCAAAGTTACCTCAGTGGCAGAAGACAGCGAGTTCGTGTGGACGAAACATACTCGTCATGGCGCGAAGTCCGCGCTGGGGTACCTCAAGGTGGCGTGTTGTCTCCTTTACTTTTCTCAATTTTCATTAATTCATTTGCTCATGTCATCTCTTCTCTCTACCATATGTATGCAGACGATGTCCAAATTTACCGACACTCAACCCTTGATAGATTATCTGACGCTGTCGCTGCCATCAACAATGATTTGTCGGCTATTCATAAATGGAGTCAACAGTATGGGCTTAACATCAATCCCGCAAAGTCACAGGTCATTGTTGTTGGCAGTTCAGCCATGATGGCAAGGGTTGATTGGGCGGAGATGCCACGGGTTGTGTACAATGGTACTAACTTGTCCTACTGCTCCAATGTTAGAGACCTTGGTATACAGCTTGATAGTACTCTCTCATGGTCGGAGCATTTAAAGAATATTGGAAAAAAAACATACGCCTCGTTAAGTTCGTTACGACGACTACAAAACTTACTGCCAATTCCTACTAAAACTATGCTTGCAAACTCTCTCCTTCTTTCAATTCTCGATTACGCGGACGCAAGCTATCTTAATCTTACCGAGGACCAGCTTAATTATCTTGAGCGATTACAAAATCTAGCTATTCGGTTTATTTTCGGTCTCCGAAAGTATGACCACGTTTCAGAGTTTCGTTCAAAGCTCAAGTGGCTCCCTATACGCCGTCGCCGGAACCTGCATACTCTTTCTCTTCTGTACTGTGTGTTATTTAATCCAAATGCTCCTCAATATCTGAAGGAGAAGTTCGAATTTGTAGGAGATCTGTCCAGAATGCGACCAGCACGTAGGCTCATTCTGAAAATGCCTGCTCACAACAGTAAATATTACAGAAAGTCGTTCACTGTTCAGGCAATAACTCTCTGGAATGACCTACCATTGAGCATTCGACAGTCTAAAACCCTATATGCTTTTAAAAAATCCTTAAAGAACCTATATCTCTCATCAGAGTAATGATGACGACATGATTTTGACAAATGTATGTATTATGTATTTATATGTTTGTATGTATGTATGTATTTATATGTATTTGTATGTATGAATGTAAGTATGTATGTATGTATGTATGTATGTATGTATGTATTTATTGATATATGTACGTATGTATATTATTGAATATTTATTACTGTCATTTATTTTTGTATGTGTTTAGGTTATATATTTATTCTAAGAATATCTAATGTACCACCCTATACTGTCTCCAAACACAATCCTCTGACCCCAGGTTGCCTGGAAGAAATGGCTAATAAGCCATAAGGCCGCCTTTTGTTATACCGTTAGTTTTAAGTTTGTATTTTTTTTGTAATTGTCTGTATTGAGAGTGTGGTGTGCAAAAAAGGATTAAATAAATAAATAAATATATACTATATAGCTTTCCGCCCGCAGCTTCGCAAGCGTGGAGCTCGGTTATTTCGCATTTCCAAGAGAACCTTTCAAAAGTTTGGGATAAAAACTATCCTATGTTCTTTCTCAAGGTCAACTCTATCTCTGTACCAAAATTTAAATTATTAAAATCAGTTCAGTGGTTTAGGCGTGAAAGCGAAACAAACAGACAGACACAGATTTACTTTCGCATTTATGATATTAGTAGGGATAGTAAGTACGTCCTGTTTACATAAACACGATAAAAAATCCCCAATAATGTCATAAAGTCAAAAGTAAATTACTCAGTATTTTAAGGCTGTAATCACTAAGGATCTCCCCAACTTAGTGACTATGGCAACGGAGGCTTTCATTGAACGAATCCCGGCCGCTATTTTTGGGGTCGCACCCCCCGGGCTCATGGCGACACAACCTCCCATTCAACCCCGCAACCCCCAAATTAAACGAAACATGTGCTTCATCTTGTTGAAATAAGAACTCTTGATTTTTGTTTTAAATGCTTTTGATTACATAATAAAAATTTATTTACAATTATACGGTAATAGAGTAATAAAATCAATCATACTCTTTCTTACTTAAATTGACCTTAATTTTTTATTGTTTATTACAAATTTTATAATAATTTTTTTTCAAATAGTATTCTATACCTAAAGGAAAAATTCTTCAGTAAGATAATTAAGAAACATAATTTTTCGTGGTAAATTCCAAGTATTAAGAAACTGTATCAGAATACGTCTAGACAATTAATGTCTATGTAATGTTACTTAAATGAATAATTTTATATTCTCTGTTTACATGAAATCTCATATATTAAACGTGATCCGTCTAAACAGTTAAGATTTATTTAAGATGAGCTCTTTGAGTTTATACACGTGTTTCAAGATCACATCTCACTTGTATATTTCTTAATTCTTTTAAGAACTCGTATTTTTATTTTCGACTGTAATTGGACTTTATGTTGTAATTATTTTTTAAATTCTCATCGCAAGATGTTCATACAGAATTCAGCTCTTTATACATACCGTGATTTACTGTGTGTATTTTCATCAAATATATTGTATTTCTGTGTATGTGTCTCCTTAAAACATATATGTATGTATATAGTTATAATAAAAAACCATTGTGTTAATGTCTGTTGTGTTGTGCACCATATGCTCTCGATTCCCACACTTTAGCACCAACTGATGCATATTACTTATAGACTTCTAGTGACATACATATAGATATATATACTTATGACGTCATCGCTTGCTTATATACTCTCGCTTATATAGTATTCGAAAGCAATTGTTTGATGGCTACCATAAATA